TGACCGGTTGTACAGGTGCGCGGCTCTCGAGTTCCGCTCGCTCCGTCCTGTCTACCTGAGTCACTCGCTCTTCGGCGTGACGAACGATGTCGGTCATCGAAAGACTGCACTTCCTATTAAGATTGCTATTGTGAATGCATTCGATAGGATTCATACTTTGTGTGGTTTCACTTGCCGAATGATTACTAAACGTGTCGTAGAGGGGGGGGGGGGTGATTTTTAAACAGAAAAGAAAAGAAAAGTGAGCCCCGTAAGTGTCTCTCAGTGCGAGGACACCTCAACAGTAGCTCACGAGGAATGGGGGTAGACAAGAGAATAAAAGGATAGGATTAAGAGGTAGAGAGATAGAGATAGCGAGGTGGTGAAACAGGGAGCGACGGAAGTGAGGAGAAGACAGGAAAGAATGACACAGTTGCAGAGGTCCGAGGACGAAACACCACTGGCGAGAGCTCTTCTCGGCGACAGGAGATTGCGTAGGGCTAATCCAGCCAACCAGAGCTACGCTGTCGTCGTCGTAGGGGACCGGCGGCAGGAGGTGGCTGAGGACCAACCCTGTCGGCCAGAGCTACGCTGCCGTCGGAGATCGCGAGGGCACAACCAGTCGCAACAGAATGCAGCGCGCGAGTTCGGCCACTTGGATTATCCAGTGTTATTAAACGTGCACTGACATCACGCAGAACACGGGCACCTAACAAGTAGAATCCATAGCGATGCGATCATCGAGGCTGGGATCAAACCCACGACTTTAGGGTGAGCAGCTCATTATCCGCTGACGTGTGCACGGGGAAAGGAAAGGTTGCCCATTAATCGACTAAGTGGAGGAGAGGGTGCAATGCTTTCCTCATACAGTCGCTCAGTCGACCAGAATGTAGATGCGGTCACTGACATAGTCATGGTAAAAAAAAGCAACAACACAACAACGCAGAAACGTTTCTGAACCCATACGGGATGCAGAAGCCGCCATACAGTTTACCGTATATTATGAGTGAACTTCGAAACACCCTGCGCCCACATGGCTTGGGGATAATAAGCGACATACACATAACATTCTAAAAAGACAACATGGATAAAAAGACAAACGCATAAGCACTAGACGATCAGCAGTGAGAGGCTGAGCTGTCAGACCCGTATGCGAATACAGAGCAGCCGGATGTAACGGGGACGGGAGATCGCAATGACCCGCGTGGAATGAGGAGGCCGCCAAGCTAAAGGGGCGCAGAGGCGCTAGGTCAAAAATAAACGTTTGCTCTAAAACAGTGCTCTCCCATAGTTGAGTACGAAGTACTCGAAATCGCTAAAGATTTTTTTTTTCTAAACACCACTCTCTTCTTATTTTTACCAACCTATCCACCACAAGCTTTTGCCCTTAATTCTGCTTGTATTTTACTCACTGTCGATCAACATTTGAGGTCAAGCTAGTTACCTAGCGACGCTGCCAAGCAAATGCTTGCCCCACAAAAGCAAACATACCTCGAATCGCTAATCAAACGCGGCCTGCGCTAGCAGTAGACATTAGGAATGCTTGGCTACAGACCTCGCTGTATCCCGTTGGGAGTTGCAAAAGTTACAGCTTTACAGTGCTCGCAGGACTCCTCGGCTAGGACTACTATAAGTGATGTCAGCGTAGAAAAAAAAAACATGAAACTTCGCATAAAAGCAATGTGCCTAATTAAAACGCAAAGGTCATTATTGTCGTTGATCATTCAACGTGCTAGTGCTGTTCTCTGAAAACTAACGATGACGACTGAAGTATGAATATTTAATCTGGCCGTCGTTTGCTGTACATCCACCGCGCGATAGCTTAGAGACGTGTGCTGCGTTTACAACCTTGAGGTCCGAGCTTTCGATTCTCTTCTATTGCTGCCGTACTTGCGGGTCTCTCTTCACGGGCGTCAATTTACGACCCTTTAACCTTACGTGTCTGACTTCTTCAGAGAAGTCAGGAGAGGGGGCTTGGTTTATAGCTTCACTAGACTCTCCCATCTGCCACATTAAGGTAATGGAAGGAAATTAAAGAAGGAATTGACAAAAAAAGGGGGTGGGAGAGTAAAGGGGGGGGGGGGGGGGCTGTGTGTGCAAAACACATGCGGTTGTCTATTACACAATACAGTTTTTAGTATAGTAACAACACGGTCACGCAGCCTTGCTATCCTGCGACGCATAGGTCCGCAGTACAAGGAGCTGTTAGTAGGAAAATAAATGGTCTGTGGTCTATAGCTCATTTGACACGTTCTGATGACTATCGAGTTCGAAGTAGATACAATCACACACACAAAAAAAAGCACAGCACATGTTCGGTCATCTCTTCAGAGTTGCAGCAGTTCCAGTAGTGTATTTCGTGAAAAAACATATGGGGGTGGGGAGGGGGTTTAACTGAAAAGGTCGCTAGAAGAAAAAGCAAAGGCTTCACTTGTGTGAGGCATAGAGCCACGTTTCACGCGTACTCACTTGGGATGATGGAGAACGGATGGGTGAATCTCCGTCAAATATGCTGTCACCGCACAGTGAAGCTGTACGCGGACAAGGGCAGGAGCTCGATCTATAACCACCGCAAGGTCCGATCAAGTAGGGCGAGGACAGGTCGACAACTATAGCTCTCTGCTCGCATCGAATGTCACGATCCGGGGACGTAATGCTGGGTTGTAGTAAAGGACGCTGCAAAGCAAAAGAGCGGACTCATGCACCGAAATTGGAAAAGAAAGAGGCAGCGTGATATGCAACGACACGCCGCAATGGGTTGACTTGAGAGGTTGATTCCTAGTGGTACGGATATGAAAGGGATGAGACTGAGAACAGTCATTCGTCATTCTCTTATTTATTTTCCTTGTTCTTTACAATGCTTATGTAGTTGTATATGAAAGTGGTGACGAAAAAAGACCACGATGGCTACCGACGTCAAATATTTTCCTGTATCTATATACAGTCTCTACGTTATAACAAGAGCAAAAAAAAGCATAAAAAGACGCGGTTTGATGACAATCGCAAGGAGCAGTCAGAAATGGATTTCACTAAACAACGGCGTGTGAAGACGTTGCTCTTAAAAAAATGACACCATATACAGGAAGTGAATGATGATGAAGGAACATGAAGGAAATCCTCCTGACCATCACACAAAGATGTGCCCTATCAAAGACAGTGAAAGTTTTAGGACGTTAAACCCCCCATTATTATTATTATTATTATTATTATTATTATTATTATTATTATTATTATTATTATTATTATTATTATTATTATTATGGAGGTTTCTTGCAGCGCCACCCGCCCCCACCTACTTTACGCAAATTGGCGGATTAGACCAGAAGTCGCAAGCACTCAAGCATAAGGAGCGAGCTCCTAACAAGCTCGTAAGAATGTTTATTTCATATCATTGATTCTCAGTGGTTGTCCGCCACCAAAGGCTTTCACAAAATATTGACGGCGTCTTCTCCTCCCAAAGAAGCTCTGCATTTTGAGAAACGCGCTCATAGAAGCGTCCTGTACTTGCCACGTCGTTCTTCATGTCGTTACAAAGCACAGAGGACAATGAAGCTAGAATCGACATGCAGGCCGGGGAAGCACAATACACAAGGGACACTAGAGCAATCGCAACGCTTTACAGCTTGCCTGTTTTGATGAACAAGGTTGTGGCTCAAAGTTGGGGCAGATCATGTAGAGCAACAAAGTAAATGGAGCAAGCTTCAAGCTACCATTACGGCCAGGGCAAAACAAGACAAGATACAGAAGAATCTGCACGACATGCACTGGTGATGTCACAATTTCTCTTATATTCTGTCTGTCATACTGTTTGCGTTGCCTTGTTCCTGAGTATATGCTATATTGACAGGCTGTATAGGAGGGCTTCGGATCGACTCAGCAACATGTAAAAATTACGAGCAGACGGATTGAAGGACAACTTGCAAATTCTGAAATGTGTTCAGCGAAAGCCTGTGACCTAGCCTGTGGCTGGAAATATGACGTCTCTGTTTTTAGATATTTCTTGTTCGCTTTCTGGTTTCTTTCTGTTTTTTTTTCTTTCTTTTTTACACTCAGTAATCACGTGATTGGTTAGAAAATGCGAGGGGCGAGCCCAAAGCCGTCACTGTTCCACGGAACGCAGGGAGAGACGAATGGATGCGGGTATCAGATAATAAGGAATTTCACCTAAATGCGTAAGGGGTTTGTCGAAGTAAGCTTCGCGAAACTGAAAGCCTTGAATAGCAATGTCATCTGAATGCCGAAGCACAGAGAGCAAAAAAGAAAGAGAGAATTGTAATGCGGAATGCTAGGATACTTACCGAAAAATAAATATCGGCTTTGCTACCTTGCTCTGGGGAAAAGGCGAGGGAGACAGTAATGTAACAAACAAAAGAATGAGTAGTTTCCCGTTCAAGTGGGCCCACCACAAAAGGAAACAGTGTAACAGCTAAGTTAATCAATCATGTGCCCTCATCACATGGCCCACGTCGCATAAGCGATATGTTTTAGAAGTTTGTTCGCAAAAATTTTTAGTGGGGGGAAACTAGAAGCTTGAGTTCTCGTATCCTGCAGTCGCTTTGCGTAACGTATAACAATAGAAAAGATGAGGCACAAGAATGAGAATTGTGGAAATAGAGTAAAATTAAATTCGAAAACTATAGAAATAACTAGAAATAAAGGAAGAGACACCAACAGCGGTAAAAAAAAGGAGGAGAAAACCTCAGAAAAACAAAAAAGGTGGCCCAGCTCCGAGTACACTTCCTTCAGTATTGTCGACTCGGAGCTGCCTTTTTTTCCCTACAGTCTATTTCTCTCCCATTTGCTGTACTTTCTTTCAGTGTCGAGTGTAACTATTTTACACTTGTGTCGTGGTCGACCTGAAACCTGCGAACGTTTCTTCGCATGCTTCAGCAACCCGAGCAAGCGAACGTAGCTGTTGTCCGAGAATTTAAGTTCGAGCAATCGGATCTCAGAACGGAAACGCAACGTTATGGTGGTATGAGGTCACTAAACAGGCTACGATGAAGTACCGGATGACTCACCTCTACAGGAATACGGTGGCGGCCACCTTCGGCATCTGCGAAGACAAAAGAAAATGATGTGTGAGAACATTGTCGACGAAAGCCAGCGTGTCATTTCAGAACAACTACACACACACACACACACACACACACACACACACACACACACATATATATATATATATATATATATATATATATATACTAAAAACAAAAGTGATGCTGGGTCCGGGTAAGATTATCCGTATAGGGAAGAAGACGCACGTACGAAGTGATTTTATTGACGTTTCAGCTGGATTCCCGGCCGAAACGTCAATAAAATCACTTCGTACGATCGTCTTCTTCCCTATATATATATATATATATATATATATATATATATATAAGGGAAATCAGTGTGTACTTAAGGGCTCGTCTTTCCGTGTTTCAACACAATAATGAGATCTAACTGACAATAAGGCGAAGGAATGTATAGGGGAAGTTATTAGACCAATGGTAATGAAAATGTGAAGGAAAAGTGGGTGAAAAGATCACTTGCCGTGAGCAGGAACCGAACCTGCGACCTTCGAATAACGCGTTCGATGCTCTACCAGTGAGCTACCACGGCGGCTATCCCCAACAGCCACTTTATTGTGTTTATATACGAACTTAAACGTGGGAGTGTCTTTCAGCGCCACCTGTAGCCATGGAGGCGAGTGTGGCACACTCTTTAGGAGCCTGTTTGGCGACACGTAGCACGTGAACTTATTACGAGCTGGCAGCTGACCAATAGTCTCTCGTATACAACCTAACGGCATCAAGTCTGTATGAAAAACGATATACTATAGTTTGTTATAAACTATATGAACTATATGAAAAACTATATGAAAGTAATATAAAGAACAGGTTTGGATTACTATCTAGGTAGTTATGTTGCTGAATGTAAAGGCAGAACATTAATTTCGCCAGAAAAAAAAAACGACACTTAGGGACTTCTTTTGCATGTTTCAAATAATGTGACACATATGACGCCAAGCTTCGATTTACGGCGCCTCACTCTAGTTTCCGGTCGCTCAAAGAGCGGGTCACGTCGCTCCGTCGCACGTCCCGCAGGGCGACCGCTTTTCAAAGTTGGGCGGGGAGGCATAAGCCGACGACTAAGAAGGTAAACACGACGACGTACAGGCGTAGCCGCGCTCGGCTTTATGTCGCGAGCCTTGCACGCATCACGAGAACCCACGACACTGATGACCCTTCAATGACGTTGATTAGGCACGCCGGCGCGTATGCGCGCTCCGTCAGTGATGGACGTCGGCGGAGATGGTGTGACGGCTCCAGTCGGGTTGTGCAACAAGTGAGTCTTTGTGCAAAATATGTCACGCCACGTGCCGTGTACTCACAACACTTGAATCGTGCTATGCTGCTAATGGTTCACGGTGTCGAAACAGATATTTTTTTTCTTTTTTTTTACGTTAGCGAGATACTGACACGCTTTACACCGTTACTTTCTCTAAGGCTGAGACACGAGACACAGCGACAAATCATCGTATCCATCGTTTTAATGCTCATCATCTTACCCATAATCAATCTACTTATAAAAAGGAAGTATCTTTTTTATTTATATTTGGCGGAACACCGGAAGATAGTCTACGTTAGAGCCAGTTATCTCAACATCATTACAGTAATGTACAATACAAACAAATAAAAACGCAAAATTAAGAATGAAATAAGAAAAAAAACTAACCAAAGACAATATGTACAATAATATATACATTATAGGGCATATAATGCACGAATTAGCACAGTGTGTGTGGTCATAGTCCTGTTCATATATCCGGATCACATTGCCGATAGAGTCCGTACAGATAGCAGCAAGGTATAATATGAACTAAAGACAGTTCATTAGATTTGTGTCCATTAAAAAATCTCGGAGGGCGCTCACTGCGTACCTTTGATTATCCGAATGCTGCCACGGTCCAAGTACTTTTGTAATCGTGATTGGTTGTCTTTCAAGTCGGTTCAAGCGATCCCTCAGTTCAGCGCACTGTTGATCGCATTGCGGACATTCTAAAAGAATATGCTCCTCTGACGCATCGGCATGATCGCTGTGGTCGTAGTGCGGGGACGTTCTTCTTTTTATGCGGCATAAAAAGTATCGTTAATGCAGCAATAAACATGATGGTTACTATTTTATATGCAAGGGATGGAAAACGACAATAGAACTTGAGACGTTTAGAATATCCGAGTTAGAAAAATATCGCTCTCAAGCCATTCTATGAACCTAACACCTCGGCTCCTTAGGACAGAAATTTTGCGTTCCTATGTACGTTCTTGGTCATCCTCGGTATACGCTTGGCTGATAGCGCACCTTAATTTCTGGTTCCATAGAAGTGTGGCAGCTTGGGCTAGTTGGTATGGCATGACGATAGTTATAGCGCGAGAACAATACGACGACACAGAGACAAGAAGGACACGAAGCGCTCGTGTTTTTCATGTCCTTCTCGTCTCTGTGTCGTCGTATTGTTCTTTCTGCCGAATTGCAGCTTTCTGCCGAATTGCGTTGGGAGTTGCCTTGACGAAGATATACACAACATTAATGGAAGTGACTGACAGTGCGGCATGTGACGTCTGCCGCACCGAAGATCATATCGACAACTGCCGAAGACTATAGCAAGAATTTTTTTATCGGGGAGGGGAGGGGGGGGGGGGTTCAATTTTATTTTATGCATGTCCGCGTGTACGTTTGTATGTGTGCGTAATTATAAAAATTAAAATTGAAAAGTTGCGAAAGAAGGGGGGGGGGGGGGGGGGAGGTTCAACCCGCCTCTTAGGTACGCTCCTGGCCGCTGCTTTAATTTTGCCTAAGAAAGAAAACACTTGCTGTTGCATAGCGGCGATCGAAACATTGGCTGCTCTGCGTGAAAACCTTACTGAAGCACCATTCCCATCGCTTGTGGGCTTACAAGGCGATTGAAGCATTTTTGTTGTTTTAAGGACTATGGGCCTGCGTAAATACCTTTGGCTATTGTATATATTACGGCTGCCACATACGCATATGCACAGTTAATGCTCAATTTCTTCTTTCCTTCCCTCCCCTTCTTTATCATATTTTGTTCTCCTTTCCCGTTCCTCCAGCCAAGAAAAGGCCTGTAGATCTCCGGGCCCTCTCCTCCTTTTTTTTTCCCCTATTAGTCCTTCATCTACATCACAAGACAGCTTTTCTCATGTACCACAAGTTCCACCCTGGTGGTCTAGTGGCTAGGTACTCGGCTGCTGACCCGCAGGTCACGGTATCGAATCCAGGCTGCGGCGACTGCATTTTCGATGGGGTTGAAATTGCTGTAGGCCCGTGTGCTCAGATTTGGGTGCACGTTAAAGAACCCCAGGTTGTCGGAATTTCCTAAGCCCTCCATTACGGTGTCTCTCATAATCATAGGGTAGTTTTGGGACGCTAAATCTTCCATATTGTCACGTTACTCTCGAAACATGTGGCAATATCAATCAATCATGTGCCAGAAGTGACTACACACACACACACACACACACACACACGCACAAACACACACACACCCACACAACACACACACACACCACCACAACACACCACACCACACCACCACACACACCCCCACACACACAACACCACACAACACACACACACACACACCAACACACACACACACACACCACACACACACACAAACCACACACATCATTTTCCTTTGGAATGAAAGTGCTTGGTGACATGTCGTCTTCGCTAACTCTGTTCGTATCCTTCGATAGCCACGCAATGACATAGCCTCCCACGGCCACGTCCCGTTGGGCCTTCATGGCACACAAGTGGTCGCATTCGAAAAGCGCGCCACATTGTGCTTGCGTACTCGGATGGCGCAAATAGGCTAACGAGTAAACAAGGGCATGCCGCAGCCGCTGTCTGAAACGAGTCTTGAACCGGCAGGGCATACGCAGTCGTCGATAGGGTCCAGCGGGGCCGGCCCCACTAGAGAAAGTTGATCGGACGTTGATCGGCCGCGCTTGGGAGCGTTTAAAGTTCTCGCCTTCGCTTCCCTTCATCACAAGCTGCAGTAGTCAAACAGGGGCACGTGCATACGCATGCTAACTCCAGGCGATTAAAGAAAAGAAAGAAAGAAAAACATTCCCTCGTGCAACGAGAAAAGCGCGCACTAGAGCACGATTCCTGTCAAGACAAACGGTGTTTCTTGCGGGATACGTCCAAGCACTTTTCCTTGCTATGCCGAGGAGGCGATCCGACTTGCCGGACGTTTGCCTCGTCTATCTGAAGTCGTGACTACATTGACTTTCTTTTGCAGATTGCGCAGAAGCCAGCGATTTGCTTCCACTTTCCCGCTTGCTGTGGGTATTTTTTTCCCGGTATCGTTTACTCAATAGTCTCCACGTTATATTGACCCATTTCCTAGTCACCGGTCTCTCTCTTCCTGTAAGCCACGCATACACTCTATCCTGTATACTTTCTTCTTCTTTACGCAGTGATGGTTAATTTGTCCAGGATACACAAACGCTTGTAGATTGATAAGCAGGAGTGTGGACAGCAAGATGGTGAAAAATATCCTTAGCTGCCACCCTTCTATGGCACAGGAGGGACAAGTTTGTTAGCAAGCACAAGTGCTTTCTAATAGACTCAGTAAAAAATAGATTTGCAATAGACTTGTAGATTAGAACATGATGCGTTGATGCATCATATTCATGTATTTCTTTGGCGCCGCTCAGTATGAAAGTGCAGGAAGAAGTTGTAAGCAGGGCTCAATCCAGTCGTATTTCTTTTTTCCTTCCCTGCTAATATATATCTTTTCTTCGGGCTCATATTGAGTCGCGCAAAATAAATTCTAGGTATGTCTTCATAGGTAGCGCATGTGCCAAGTATGTTGCTATACCTTTTACGTTAGGCATAGCGATGCTTATACCGCATTCACTCGATTGTAACGCCACCACGACGGTAACGTGAGGGGTCACTTATCGTGGCGTCCAGGAAAAACAAAAAAACTGAATTTCTGTATTAAATATCTGAAAAAAAAGCACTGACCTTGTATTTCGGTAA